ATGATTTTATAACAATAAAAATTAAAATAAAATGATACTTATAAAATTTGAACATGTGATATGATATTTAAGTTCAAAATATAATATAATATAATATAATATTTATATTTAAATTTTAATAAAATATGACAATATCTATTAATAATAACAAGAATACATTTAAAATAAAAAAATATCAAATCAATATAATATAAATTGTAAAAGATAAAAATATTCAAAATTAAAAATTAACTAAATAATTAAATTAATATATTATATATATATATATATATATATATTAATTGAACCGTTTAATTCAATTTTATCAAATTTATCAATTTTGAACCAATTTATTGCTAAATAATTTTGAATATCAATCAAATTAGTTGAGAATTGATTCCCAATTGAACCGGTTCAACTAGTCACTTTGATATGTTTTTAAAAACCATGATATTTATATGATTCAAATAAATTATTTTAACATTCTCTTATAAAGATTTTTCTTATTACTTTATATATGCTCCCAATTATATATACAATTTTTTTTTATCAGCTAAAAGAAATGTATTAAGGAGGTACTAGGGGTGCCAAACCCAAATACAAAAATGTTGAGAAATAAGAAATGAGAGTCTTATACTACTCCAAAATTATATGTTCCTATCATGAGTAATACAAATTTTTGTTGCGATATGGTGTAAAGCATGTCTCCCACATGACCCATTGCATGTTGATAATGACATTGATGTGTCCTACTGCAATCATTGAGTGATCAATTACATGGAAGCCTATAGAGTCAATCATCCATGTGTCCACTTTCTATCATCCTGAATATGTTGCAACTCAAACCGCAAGGCAATATAACCCCTTACTTTCCATAAAAGATTACCAAAGGAATTCCAACCTGTTTATAAATTACGGTGCTAGGATACACACTTGATATAAGAAATAGGATCCATAAGCCAATTAACATACAATAATTGATCCCTCTTCAAATCCACACACAACCATTTTCAAGATCGATATTTAATGGCCTAAAAAATTTTCATTATATCCAGCATCCCATTATTAAAAACAATACGGTTCCTATGAAGTCATAAACTCCATATAACAGAAATCCAAATAGTTGTGAATATCCTTCCCTGCTTCTTCCCAAATGCAAATCCACCCATACTTAACAATAATTCATCCAAAGCATTAGGTAAGCACGGTGAAATACCAAGCCAATGAAGGACCAAATACCAAATTTTACATGAAATTCTGCAGTGTGAAAAAAGATGACATACGTTCTCTGCCTCATTATTACATAAAGTGCAAAAATCATTAATAACAGGAATACCACACCTTACTAAACTTGCTCGAACTGGTAGCAAATTCAACAATAATTACCATGCAAAAACAATTGCTTTTTTTGAAGCTTTTACCTTCCAAATACATCGAAAACTTTGTTTTAAAACCGTCTCCAAAACATTCCCTGCAAAAAAAAGGAATGCAGCCAAATATATATTGATTTAACATTGTTTAATGATATAATATATACACACATTATTATAGAAGATTGCTTTATAATCTAACTTTTTTGTAAAATAAAAATTGCTCTGGTTTAAGAATATAAAATAGGTAGTAAAATAGGATAATCATATTCTTTTGTTACTTCAAATCACTAATTAAAATAAAATATACATGTCTTATTAATACCACCTTGCATAGTTGTGAGTCTTTATTTTTTATTATTGATTAAATTTCATTAAAATCATATATAATAAATAAAAAAGAAAATTCAGAAAATTCAATATTTTGTTAATAATAATAAAAATTAAACAAAGAATGCATATATAATTTTTTTAATTTCAAATAAGTAAATTAGGAAGGTGGATCACTGTTGCTGATGTAATCACTCAATTATTTTGCATTGCTTCTTGAAAGGAAATGAAAATCTGTATGGATGAAGTGGATAACTTGTTCTTAGAAATATTGATGAAATTAGAAGGTCCGTAGTGACGTGGCAAATATTGAAGGCAAGTATGAAGAGGCCATGCTAATATGTGATATGTGTACACAAAATGCCCTGTAATCAATAGTTATCTCATTTCAGGACCTGCCACCTGTTTCGCAAAGCAACTTGAATTTGAATTTTCCAAAATCATCCCCATTTAATTGGACAACATTTATGATTTGTATGCGTGTTGTAACTTATTTCCACGCTATTTTTAATATCACTACATCCATTTTTATATTTAAGAAACAAATATTTAATTTATCAAAATTAATGAAACTAGTTAAATTAATTGATTATAATTAATAGTATCAAATTTTGAAATTTTATTTTAAAGATATTCATAAAATTAAAGATAAAATTTAAATGCAATTTTTTAAATGTGAGAGTTAAAGTTTTATTTCAATATTATGCACTTATATTTAATGTAGGTCTCATTAATATACATTTATATATATTATTAAATAAAATTTGAATTCTAAAAATAATACTGATGACATTTAAGAAATTATATTTAAGTTTTATCCTAGAATTAAATAGTCCTTAGTGATAATTATATTTAATGACATTTTTCAAAAGTCAAAAAATATTTGTTTCAACCAATTAACTTAACTTACAATGTTAGTTATCCAATAAATATATATATTTTTATATTAAAAAAAATTGAATAGATGAATCATTAATAGAGCATATGTTTAAGTAATAAGATTGTCTAATTACAATCTCATATTTTGCTAGTATAGTTAACGTACGAATAAATTACAGTACAAATTAAAATTACCTAACAAAATTATAATAACTCTTGCTTGTCTAGTAAGACCTCTAAACCCATTACGTTTCGTACATCTTACTATCATCTAATAATTAATTATTTATTAATTTTTTAAATCCGGGCATATTTCGAGAAATAATAAAATCAGAAATGTTATTTTTAAAAATATTAAAAAAGACTCGGTTAAATTAAAACATTCTCATGAATATTTTAAATTTTAAAATAAAAAATAGAGGTCAGAATGAAAGTTATAATTAAATTTAATATACTCCCTCCGTTTTTTATTCATAGTCGTTTAAGATTTTGCACGGGATTTAAGGAAATAATTGATATCTTAGTTTTAAAAAATATTTATTACTTACTTTCCTATTCTACCATCTATTTTTTATAGTATTTCGTTGAAAACATATTGCTCTTTTAAATATAACATTAACTTTGCATAAGTAGTTGGAGAAAAAATTGGTAAACATTAAAAATAAATAGACACATTGTTCAGTAAACATACATTAATTATCAAGGGTAAAAATAAAAATAAAAAATTGATAAGTCATTAATTTTAGTAAAATGGCAATGAAAAAAAATGACAAATTATGACAAAACGACTATGAATAAAAAATGGAGGGAGGAATATTTTCTCACCTTTTCATGAAAATGAGATAAATTATTAAATAGTTTAAGATTATCATATGTCTATGTCTTAACCAATCATTATACAATTGCATTTAAGTTTTCAATTCACAAAAAAAAAAAATATTTGATTACATATTTTATAGAAACTAATTAACTGCTATATAATTAAGGATTATCTAATAATTTGTTTTATAGAAATATAACGTTTTCACCTCTTAACATGTGAATCAAAATATTTTAAAACATGAGTTAACTACTTTTTCCAAAATAATATCTTTAAAAATATTTTTTAAAAAACAAGTGTAAGAAAAAGAACTCTACCTTCCCATTTGACATTGTCAAAATAGTATTTTAATTCGCGAAACAAATGCGCTATTAATTTTTCAATGATCCCTCAATTCTGGACGCGCTTAGGTGATTCCTGCAAGAACCTTCGAGTCATTTCCAACTCAATTTCCCTATCCATTTGGATTTAGAACATCGTTAATGATTGGTTTAAAAATCATGTGTAAAAGCTTGGTTTGACTTGAACAATGACCAAAATCCCAAAGAAGTGGTTGAGTAATTAATTAAGTACCGTATAATAGATGAATTGAATGGATAAATGCTTGCGGTGTTAGTGTCCACGCAGGAGAGAAGATAACGACCGTGTGAGGCAAGCTAACTTGTAATCAAAGCTAGCCATATCATCTCGATCAACATACTAAATATTTGTGTTGAAGCTAACTTATATAAATGAATTTCTCTCCAACTCAGAACACATAACAACTCTCTCTCTATTTATACCGACACACGTCATAAAAATATATATGTATACATCAGCACAATAAAACTACAACTCTAAACTCTTTAATTTTATTTAGGAGATGACAAACTCTAGGTGGCTATCTCTCTTACGAAGAACAGGTGAGTTTAATTAATAATTTCTACAACACTTTCTATATTTTTTTTGTCTCTCGTTTCTTTATGAATGTGTTACACATATCTATTGGTAAGAATTTGAAATCAAATATTATTTGTCTGATTTTATAAATTGAATATTATTTCTCTTATTTTATATTGTTAATATGTATTTGTGTCGAAATGGACTAGATAATTCATAACCTCATTTCAAATTCTCAAAAAAGTTTTGTAATTGACTTTACATGAAAATGTCTTGTGCCAAAATAAATTGATTTTTTTGTTAAAAGAAAAGCAATTGTGTTAACCATGCAGGTAGATCTCGGAAGAAAGAACGCGAAGAAAGTAGCTTCAGCGGAACGCCAAACGTGAATGGAGAATACCTCAAAACATTCAGAACAAAGTCATACGTTGAAATATGCAACAAAGCACACGAGGAGTTGGGAAATGCAAGAACGGAAAGACTCTCTTCCACGTCTTCTTCTTCCTTTAACATGCACCTAACCGAATATCTTCTAGAACCACACCAAGAAATTGTAGCCAACATGAAGGTGCATCGTCTTCTGGTAGACTACTTCGAAGCCTCCTTAGAATCATGCCGTTGCTGCGACACAATCCTCCAAGCCATCCATCAAACGCGACTTGCTTACGCAAAAGTCACCAACATCATTGTCAAGCTAAGCCAAACAGCGCCTTATTATCATAACCGATCCCGAAACCCTATTCTCACACAACATTCTTCCCTCATGTTATTACAAAACAACCCTTTGTCTATCATTAGTCCCGTGCAGTTCCGTGACATCCACGACAGATACATGACCCTCTTACGTAGACTAACATCAAAGAGAGGGAAAATTCAAAGAACTTTAACCATTAAGCGCGTTTGCAAGAAGGTGGGAGGAATCGCTTTGGTCGTTTCGCAAAGCGTGCTTCTGGTGGCTTTATTGGCGTTTGCAGTTCACAGCGTAATTGGGTTGGTGGCTGCACCGTGTATAGCTAGCTTGTTTGGTTTGGTCATAAGGAAGAAATTTCGTGAAAGGGTGAACGGAAACTCTTGTGTGAGGCTATGTGAACAACTTGATGTTGCTGCGAAAGGGGTTTATGTGCTGCTTAATGAGTTGGATACTATGAGTCGTATGGTTAAGAGGTTGGATGATGAGGTTGAACATTGGAGAGAAGTTGGTAATATTTGTGTGAAGAATTATAAGCGTGAAATATTGAAGCGGGTTGCGAAGGAATTTCAAGACAACGAATCTAACTTTTTGGGCATGTTGGAAGAGCTTGAAGAGCATATCTATTTGTGCTTTCTCACTGTAAACAGATCTAGAAAGTCGGTCATGCAAGAAATTACGAGGAACCAAGGTTAAGAAAAATTGACGCCTCGTATTCTTTTGCTTAATTTTATCATTTATAGAGAAGAAGTTTTTGCTGCATGAGTCAAGTTGATGAAACTTCTGCGATGCACACTCATCAATTGGAGAGAAGGTTTTACAACTTTACATGTAAATTATATTTTCTTTGGGAACCAGGTGACTTTGACGAGTGTCTCTCTCTTAATTTTCTTGCCAAGAATTTCTGTTATACGCCTTGATTTGCAGGGTAAAGCTGGCTAACATTTTTTGTTTAGAGTTAATTGCATTGAAGTCTTTTTCTATTTTAATTTATGCATGTACAATGTTGATCTCTTCAAGGTGAGAGAAATGTTAATTGTGCTTTGTACAATAATTTTTACATAAAAATGAGAAAGACGGAGAAAAAGTGAGAAAAGATAAAAATATGAAATCTAATTAATGACGTAATAAAAAAGAATAATATTGAATATATAAGTTGTTGTATAACTCTTAATATTTAACTATTTATACTTGATATTTGCCTTAATTATTAAAATATGATTTAATACATCAAATTTATTAATTTTTTTTTAATTAGATTCTTAAATTTAAAAAAAAAATTATAACTAGGTCTTTTTTTATATTTTTGTAATTTAATACATAAGATAATAAATTTGTTTACAATTCATAAAAAAATTAAAAATATTTTTATATATCCCTCGTATCTGAATAACTATATTAAATTATTATTTCATATCGATCACTTTTAATTCTATCCTTAAAAAAATTTGTAGTCTCACTAATTATAGGAATTCTAAAATAGTAAATAATTTTAGCAGATAAAAATTTAAATTTGATACACATAGATTGATTACATTATAATTTAATATAATTGTTAGCATGAAAACATATAAAAAAATGCTTTATAAAATGGATAGAAATAAAAATCTGGTACACAGATGATGACATTAGATAATAATCTAATTTAATTATGAGAATATAAAAAAAGTATTTTATAAAATTTTGTAGATTATAAACAAATTTTTAACCTTAGAGAATAAATTAAAAAAATAAAAGACCTAATTACAAAAAAAATAGTATAAAAATATAATTATTTTTTTAAAGAAATTTGTCATCAAATAATATATTAATCTTTAAAATAAAATTCTCATTTCAAAATTCCACTTCGACGTTAGAATGTTCACCCACATATTTTGTCGATACAATGATGAAAATGTAAGATAGATGAGATATTATATATTAATAACAGTGGAAGCAAGTAAGTGGAAGAAAAAAATAAATTTTTTTCTTCAACCAAATATAGAAGATATATCATTATTAGTGGGTTTTTTTTTCTTCCATTCCAACCAAACATGCCAGCAAAGTAATTATTTTTGTTAACATCTATGAATTTTACCATGAAGCCCTCCTACATATGGAAGATTAAAGTGCAATGTGGATGCAACTATTCTTGCAAATAAAGGTAGCAGATGTATGGGTATGTGTCTATGTGATCAAGACGGGTCGTTTGTGAAGGTTAAGTAATGCAATATTACCATGTTAATGGACCCTTGCGTAGGTGAAGTTTGGGCCCTTTATGAGGCTTTGCGATGGGTGAAAGATGAGATGGAAGAGGTTTCATTTGAAATGTATTGTAATAGTGTGGTGCATAAAATTAGTAGGCTCATGATATATACACCTCCTTTTTTATATAAGTACACCTTTTTTATTTTTTTTAATTTATAAAATATTGTACTTTTTTTTTAATTTCCTAATTTTACACTTCCAACTTTTAATTTGTTATTTTTTTCTTTTTTTTTCACATACTTTTTTTTTTTAATTTTAACATGCTACCAACGTAGGTATGATGAAAGAAAGATAAGGGGGTGCATGTAAAAATTGAAAAAAAGAGGGAAAATATGTATAAAAAAAAATACTAAATTAAATATTGTAGATGTAAAATTAAAAATTAAAAACAAAAGAATTTAAAAAAATTAAGAATATTTTAGAAATTTAATTATTATTTTTAAAAAAGGAAGTGTACTTATAGAAAAAAAGAGGTGTATATATCATGAACCAAATTAGTAACTTTTAGTGGGATATTGCATAGTTCGAGACCATCATAAATAACTGTAGCCTACTGTGACATGGTTTAAGAAACTGTCAGGTCAAATTTTTTTATTTATGAGATAATCGTTCATACGCTGTCAGTGTAAAATTTTACACTGATAACCAATCATATCTTTTAAATTATTTTATTTTATTATTATTTCATTAAATAAGCAACTGACATAATACTATTAAAAGATATGATTAGTTATCTGTGTAAAAAAACTTTATAACGGGAGTGTGTATGTGATTCACTCTTTTTGTATAAGCAAGCTAATTCGGTGACGCATAATTTAGCCAATTCTGACATGGTTACGTTTGGGTTGCAAAACAAAAGTTAACAATTGTGTCTGCTGCAAGAAAAGAAAATAAGAGGTTAAACTTTATAGAATAACAATAAAAATGATGAAAACAAGAAGTATATTACAAAGTAATTGTTGTAAAAATATGAACAAAAGACATATCAATTAAGTGTAAGAGCTAACCAAATATGTTAAAATAAAAGATACCTTTTAGGTCATTTTTAAAATCCATTTAAAGAAAATGGAAATAAAAATTTAGGAAAACAGTGTCATTAAACATTATCATGTGCATCGTATGTTATGTGTGATGTGTTACTGTCCAATATTTGGACGTTGTTTAAAGGAGAAAATAAGGAATTGAACTTTACTGGAGACACCAAAATGATGAAAATAAGAAGTAAATTACAAAGGAATTATTGAAAAAAATAAACAAGACATATCAATTAAATATCTAAGAGCTAACCAACTGTTTTGACGTTGTTTAGGAGAGAAAATAAGGGGTTAAAATTTATAGAAGAATAAAAAGATGATGAAAATAAGAATTAAATTACAAATAAATTATTGTTTAAAAAAAAAAACAAAAGACATATCAAATACGTTTCTACAAGCTAACCAACTAGGTTAAAACAAAAGTTATGTTCGAGATAATTATTGAAAACCATTTAACAAAAATGGAGATGAAATTTTGAGAAAATAATGCCTTTAAATTGTCATTTACATCTCATGTACAATATTTAGGAGACAAAATAAGAGGTTAAACTTTATACAAGAACAACAAAAATGATGAAAATAAGAAGTAAATTACAGAGTAATTATTATATAAAAAAATGATCAAAAGATATATCAATTAAGTATCTAAGTGCTGACCAACTGTTTTAAGAAAAAAAAGAAGTTATGTTTTATGTGATTTTCAAAACCAATTTAATGAAAATAAAGATAAAATTTTGGAAAAAATAATTTAATTAAATTGTCATGAGCATTTCATGTGGTGTGTTAGTGACCAAAGTTTGAACACTACTTAGGAAGAAAATAAGGGGGCTAAACTTTATAGGAAAACAATAAAAACGATGAAAATAAGAAATAAATTACAAAGTAATTACGGTAAAAAAATGAACAAAAGACATCAATTATGTATTTAAGAGCTAATCAACTATGTTAAAACAAAACTTACATCTCATGTGATTTTCAAAATCCATTTAATGAAAATGAATGAAAATGGAGATGAAATTTTGGACAAATAATGTCATTAAAGTGTCACGTGCATCTCACGTAGTGTGTTACTATACCATGTTTGACCCTGTTTAGAATAGAAAATAAGAGGCTGAACTTTGTAAAAGAATAACAATGATGAAAATATGAAGTAAGTTACAAAGTAATCCTAAAAACTTGAACAAAATACATATCAATTAAGTATTTAAAAACTAACCAATTATGTTAAAATAAAAGTTAATTATCATAATCCATTTAACAAAAATGGAGATGAAAATTTTGGAAAAATAATGTCATTAAATTGTCATATGTATGTCATGTAATGTGTTATTGTCTAATATTTGAACGTTGTTTAGAGAAGAAAATAACATATTAAACTTTATATGAGAACAACAAAAATGATGAAAATAAGAAGTAAATTACAAAATTATTATTATAAAAAATAAACAAAAAACATATTAATTAAATATTTTAATGCTAACAAATCATATTAAAAACAAAATGTACCTTCTAGGTAATTTTCAAAATTCATTTAACAAAATGAAGATGAAAACTTAAAAAAAAAAAAAATACTGTCGTGATGTATTACTATTTAATATTTACAAACTCTTTAAAGAAGAAAAGTAACTATGTGAAACATACTAAACACTTGAGAAATTTTGTGTGGAGACCCAATGGTAAGGATACTACGTGATGTATTGAAAAGTCTTAGGAGTACGGTGTGATTTACTCTAGATATTACACCCATCAAACACAAAGCTTAAGACCCTATGGGCTATTTGTCTTGTGAAAAAAAAAATTCCTATTTGATTTAAAGAAACAATTTTTCTTCCTTTTTTCTTCCTATTTGTCTTTCTACGTTTAAAAAAGAAACAATTTTTCTTCCTTTTTTCTTCCTTTCTTTCATTTTTAGGGGAATTAATTTTGACTTATTTTTGTTCCATTTTTAGTTTTTCTTTTCCAGCTATATCAAGAGTATATTTTGGGCATTTTCATGTACATGAGTCAATCCAAATTTTAATTTAATTAAAAAAAACTATGCTTATTCAAAACAACTTTGTTGGTAAAATTATTTTTGTGAATTATTTTAATTTAAATATTAAAAATACCTCTTCTATTTCTCTTCTATATTTTTTAGATTAAATGTTTTAAATCCTACATTTTTTGGACAAAAAATGTTCTTAGTTTTTATAATTTAAAAACTATTTTTGTTCTCTTATTTTTTTTATAATTGTGAATTTCGTCACTTAATTCTTTCTAATAAAACAATAATAATATACTTTTATTAAAAAGGAGAAGGAAAACATCTTTAGCACTCACTTCTGACCAGTAATTATCTTAAGAAAAAAGTCTGGAGAAGTGACCAAAAGTCATATCATTATTTTTTTATCAACTTAAATAGTTCAAAAGAAGAAATAAAATAACAAACCAAAAAATAAAGGAGAAAAACTTAAAAAGTGGTCTCCCCTTAGATCCAATATCATGAGATTCTTAGATGCTCGTGGAGGTAAGAGAGATTTATCTGATCATCCGGCCACTTCGCAAGCACCAATGCTGCCGAGCAAGAGATTTCTCACCATTTGCTACTGCTACACCTAAATTTTTTTCAATTTTATCCTGTTTGTAGCATTTGGGAGGGACCCCACTAAATGAGCATCACATGGGGCAAGCACTTTCATTATGACACACCATTCTTCTTATAGATTCAACTGACTTCCTTCAATTTCTTGTACTCCTGAAGGCTAACAAGGGAAGCCTTGACCTTAAGCCAATCAACAGGTTTTGGCATGATAATAGCAATGTATCCTTCTCTGTCAGCCTGAAGGGTCGATGAAAAGAAATTCATAAGGAGGGAGGAAAAGAAAAAAATCAGATAGAAAAATATTAGAGAATAGTTCACAACATAAACACAAGCATCGGGATGAAGACAAAGTTATAGTAAGCTTGTGTATGCTTTACCGATCTCAACGAAATACCCAAGTAATTAACGGTAGCAGTAATCATTTTGATAGACCAACTAAGTGCATGTTTGAATTCGCGTCAATAATCCACGTTTTGACGAATTTGACGCAGAAGCAAGATATGATAGCTTCTTGTTTTCACGTTTTTTACGCGAGTTGAGTCCAGTAAACGTGAATCCAAACACACGCTAAAAGATTTAAATTAGTCACTAACTAACCCTTAACTTTTTTATTAGGTGTGGACCTGGTAGCCTACTATTCCTAACTTTCCCTCTTCTAACACCACTTCAGTTGTTAAACTTTAAATCCTGCGCCTATAGTGGTAACCAACTATTTCTAATACACAGGATATTTTATAACTCTGGATTCATACACCCTCCATTTTATATTTCCTACCACATTTAATTCCATGGTTTTCCATCTACTGGATGATATAATTTACATTGGCAACATGCCCGTGAGCATTGATAATTAACTAATGCCAGAATATTAATGGCATGGCATGGCATGAGATAGATAATTTTTCAAAAAAGTATAATGTTCTATACAGAAACATCTGCGAAGGTAGTTATAGATTAGCTCCTTTTCCTTTGTAGGTTTTGAGTAGATTTGGGATGGTATCAACCTCTTAGGTGCAGATCCATGAGGTGCATATATCTACCAAAAAATATTTCTAACACCTTACATGCATTTTACTACCGTCCTATGAATCATAACAAAATTTTAAATCATACTACTGCAATCACAAACTCTCGACATTTCATTCTCCTCCTTTATGAACTGCATTTGCATTCTTAATTTTACTAGCGTTAGATTACATCACCACTAAATATACCAATCAATCACCATAAGTAAGACTCAGCACATATATCTGGTATTATTCCGGCACAACGCCCCTATATTTCAGACTGAAACTTTAATAACAAATAAGTGACCTGGTTGGATTCAATTAGAAAATATATCAATTTACAATAATAGACATTTGATTTTGAAGAAGGTTACCAGAACAACAGAGTTTTGCATCATTGTAAAATTTAAGATGCAAGGGGAAATACATGTTATAATTCTCCATTGTAATATGCAGAAATTTTCACCTGTTATAAGAAAGGTTTATCTAGCATGAAAAAATTAGGCTGGATATGAGCATAGTTATTCTTACTGAAACATTAAGCAGTTCTGGCTGCTTGATCAATTGTTGATTCACTTCCAAAAGGGAGCCTTTGACGCAACATCTATCAAAAATCACAAGTTAAGCTATCACAGAGTTTGAAGGACACCCAAGAAGAAGAGGAGTTGGCTAAGCAGTAAGCACACAAACACATAAACTTTATATCATAGAAGTATTTATAATAGAGAATTTACCTCACAATATAAGTATCGTTTTTGGTAGAAATTTTACACAAAGCCGTGTTGGACTCAAAGTGTTGTGCATTCTGCATGAAAACATATCCCATTTTAATAAAGGAAGGACAAGAAGCTACTTTTCATAATGTTTTGACAAGGCACAAAAATTCACAAAACACATCATCAACAGATATTGTAATTCTCAAGGAAGGGACAACGCCAAACCCTGCATTTTCATGAAAAAGCCATATGTAACAAGATAAAAGTTTGCAACTCAATCAACTTACAATAATAAGGTATAATATCAATAACCAAGTGGGTCCATTTCACAACAATAAAACCAACCATTCTATATTAAAAAGTGATATCAGTAACATAAAGCATTTTTAATTTTTCACCAAAAAGAAAATTAATCGGGAATTAGCTTTTCTCATTCTTCACATGTATTCAAATATGACTTTCCAGAAACAGACAGCAGAAAACAGAGTGTGAAGATTGATGAAACCTACCTTCTTCCGCTTTCCAGTGACTTTCATCCCACTGCGATCAGACTTCCCAACATTGAAATCAACGGCTGTGATTCCACCTTCATCCTTGAAAGCAACGTGGGATGGAGCCAACCCGATCACACACAAGCTTGAAGGTAACAATAACATTTGCAATGAATTAAAAAAAAAAAAAAAACTATAATAATAAAAATTATCGACACAATTCAACTCCAAGTAGAACCTCAAAAGAATGAACGAATGCAACAACTACACTATAATAGTATACCCATTGGCGTGACGGTAAACGTACTGATCGTGACCTGGCTTCATAAAATCTGCACATTAAATTAATTCATTCATTAGCATTAACCGAATTGGAATGGAGGTTTTAGGGTTTAACAAAAAAATGGTATGTGAGCGTGAATAGGATTACCTGGGGCGAAGTAAGTGGCGAAGTTTGATTCAACGGCGGAAGGAGGAGTGAGAGGAAGATTCTGTACGTCAGGAACTAGAAGCTTCCGTAAATCCTCATCTTCCTCGTCCTCTTTTTTCTCTTCATGTAATTTGGTTTCTGAACAATTCGCTTCGTCCACGATCTCGTCCTTGTTAATGGTCGTCATTTTTAATTTATTCAATTTTAAATGAGAAAAAAACTGCAACAATCACTCTTCAACAAATAGGGTAACACTCCTGATAGAGGTTACAAAACTGTACCGGTAGTTAGTAACATCAAAATTCAAGACTCTCTTTCTCTGTTTTTCTGCTCGACTAAGTCTAATTGGGCCTCACCCACTACCTAAAGGAGCAACATAATGTCCAATGATGGCCCGTGTTCACACCAAACAGCCCAATAGAAGTCAAATTTGTTTTTAATAAGGAAAAGGCAGATGATAAACACACCTCCACTCTCGTATAAACACACTTCCTTTTTTAAAAAATATATATAAAATGTCTAAATTCCCCTTTAAAAAAAATGAAATTCCTAAATTTACACCTCCCTTCCCCTCACCCCCTTTCCCCGCACCCCACACTCCACACCCATCTTCTTCCCAAAGTCTCTTTCCGCTCAATGTCATTAAGCAATATACTTTTACAGTCATTCTGAATAGAAAAAAAGGACTAGACCCACCATAACCAGCATAAGAAAGGTTCTTTTACCGTCATTAGCATTCCGGAAAGTACTTTTACTGTCATTAGCATTCCGGAAAGAACTTTCCGTAATAGTAACTTTAATATTATGGAAAGTACTTTCCGGAATTATGTAACAAAACATTTCCGAAAAATACTTTCCGGAATAAGAATTTAATATTATGGAAAGTATTTTCCGGAACATTTTTATATAATTCCGGAAAGAACTTTCCGTAACAGTAAGAAGAAGAAGAAGAGGAGTGCCAGAAAGAGAAAGAAGAGGGGTGTGCGAGGTGCGGGAAAAAAAGAAGAAGAAGAAGAGAGTGCCAGAAAGAGAAAGAAGAGAGGTGCGCAATGTCAGCAGGTGGTCTTGTAAGAGAAAAACTCTTACTTGTTCTATGGAAAGACAAACTAATACAAAAATGACTTTAAAAATCGGAGTTTTAAAATCAGTCATAAGGTAGCCATTTTAAAAGTGACGCGGTGGCCTGTACTGCAACAGAACGGCACCAGAACGGTCCGTTCTGCAAGCAGAACGACCTGTTCTGCTTTCAGTACGGCCCGTACTGCAAGAAGAACAGCATGTACTGCTTGCAGAACGGGCCGTTCTGCAATCAGAATGGGCCGTTCTTCTTGCAGAACAGCCCATTCTGGTGCGGGGAAGGGGGGTGCGGGGAAGGGAGGTGTAAATTTAGAAAAAAAATTTAAAAGGGTAATTTAGACATTTTATATATTTTTTTTAAAAAAGGGGTGTGTTTATACGAGAGTGGAGGTGTGTTTATCATCTGCCTAAGGAATATGTTTGAAAGATCATGAAATGGATAAAATAAAGAGTTACATTGTCAGTGTAAAATTTTTTTACACTAACAACTAATTGTATCTTTTAATTGTGTCATGTTACTGTTAATATGGAACAATTAAAAGATATAATTGATTGTTAGTGTAAAAAAACTTTACAATAGATGATTAACTCTAAAATAAATATATTTATGAAAATAAATGAAAAATGACCATAAGGTTATATTTTAGATAGAACTGAGTCTCATTCAATGGATTGGATTTTAAAAAAGATGATCCAAATAGAAATAAGACATGTTAAATGACATTATGCGTTGCCCCCATGGAATTATCCTATGATCTAATTTATTATCTTGTGAGTGATAAATATACAATATTATTTATCTTATATACGTTTCACATTTCTAAAATATTAGTGATCATATAATATACAATAATCCTCACCAAACTAATCCAAAACATATTTCAACAAAAGCGGTTTCCAAATATATACAGTGATAATAATTGTCTGGTGTTTATCACTTCCTATTCTTCCGACATGCATTTTGGTCTTTGGAATATAAATACTCCTATTAGAAAGGGTAAGAAATAAACAGCAAAAGGTAAAGGAAAAAATCAATAATTTTATTTTTGGGACAAATTTTCAAAACAATTATTAAGAAAAAAATGGAAAATATAATGCAATAAAAAAATTAAAAAGTGTCATAATCTTTTTATATAATAATAAAATTATTCTAAAAAATCACCGACAGGGAAGAAAAAAAAAATAGAAGAGTCAGTGAATACGTACTGTGTTGATAAATGATAAGGGTCCCCTTATGTACTTCATCTTCACTCGCTTTGTTTGACGGTGCCAACTGTGTCACAACTAGATTAGACCAAAGCAACGATCCATCCAATAGGTTTTCAATATTTTATGAATTTGATTTTTATACATGCAGGAGTTTCTACGTTATTAATCACTTTAAAAAAAATTAACATCGAAATGACTATTATAAAAATTAATACTGCTATTATATATGACAATTTGGAATTAAATTAGTATATTAGTCTGCAATGTTTATTTTATAAAATTAAAATTTATAATACATAAATATTTTAAATATATATTGGTATTCTTAATGTTTTTAATAAACCGGTATTTTCAATATAAAGTTTATAAATCAAATTTATAATAAACAATTTATATTATGAATGTTGTTTTTAATTATTGATATTTTTAAAATATTAAAATTTAATATAAAATAAAGATAAAAAATAAATTGATAAAGAATAAGAGTTAAAAAAAAAGTTCTGAAAGTGCTGTTGTAAGTTAAAAGAAATTTTTAAGTTGTTAAAAATCTTTCATTTATGATATTTATTTTAATTTATATGTAACTATTATATTTTCCTTTAAACAACTTTATTCTTCAACTAATTTGTAAATTATCCTATTACATCCAGATTTAACCTTTGATCATATCAATTTTATTCTGATCATAAATATAGAAGAGATTATATTGAGAGAATACATTATATACTAACATATACGTTTATATTTTTTAACAGAGATTAATTATTATTTTCAATTATGAATATTTTATACTAATATCATTGTAAAACAAAATTTATTTATATTTAATTTTTACTTTCTCTCCTTTATTTTATTTTTATATACAAAATGTAGAAAACTATTTTCCCTTAGTATATATGTATTATCCAAAAAAAAATTACTTATATTTAACCTTTATTCTCTCCCCTTTATTTATTTATTTTTTATCTTATATACAAAATGTATAAAATTTTCCCTTATAGTATTTGGATGAAGAATTTTAGAAATTTAAAATTTTTAGAATTTGAATTATTTGAATTTTTATTATTTTTAAATATTTTGTTTAGATAAATTAATTTATTTTTAAAATTTTAAATTCTTAAGTAAAATTGGTTTTAATATATATTAAAATTTTAAAATTAAATATAAACTAATTTTTAAATATTTAGAAATTTTAAAAATTAATATTAGATAGTATTTAATAATTTAAAAATAATTTTAAATATTTAATAATTAACAAATTATCAATATCTTTTATGTTAACCTAAAAAAAGAGGAGAGGAGGTAGAAGAAAAAAAAATCTTACTTTTTTGAGAAAATTTAAAATTTTATAATTTTAAAAAATTTCACAAATACTTGAATTTTAATTTTTTCTATAAATTCTCCACTCAAATAAAATATTTCACTCCAAAATATTTAAAATTCTTAAAAAATATGAAATATTCCATTAAAATTCATGATAGTATATATACGTAAAAGATAAAAAAAAAATGTGAAAATTCTCTTACATTATCTAAACATACGCTGATTACTGATTACTCATACTTTGTTTGACAAATGAGACAATATCCAGATGCCAATTTTATGATTTTATACTCCAATAATTAAGGTATTCTTTGGTTGAATCCACAGTGATATTGGCAAATGACATATTTATGTCTTGTAGCACCATATCACAGCCGTGACAATCTGTTCTATTAAAAAATGGGACATGTGAATATAGCTCATTAATTGTGACATTGTTAAGCATTTACATGTGACCACCGATGACCTTTGATCCATTGCATAAAAACATTACCTGTCATATTATCCGCTTATAGCTACAAACAAAGAAGTCAAATGAAACCATGGAACCAAAATTGGAAAAATGTTGACACGAAAAAAAGAAAAACACGACCAGATGGGGAAGTGCAATTAATTGTGGTTTGTTTGGGATACATTCACGACTCTTGTGCATGTGAGCGAGAAGGAAAGTGTCACAAGAGAACGTGGGTATAATTGAATGACCTCCAGATTTGTACACATTTGCAAAGAAACTTAATACAGTAAATAATACTATTTTTTTATTCTTAGTTCTTTCTTGTTGGGCAACTTAACATGTGCCATCGTTGCCTCAGCGACTCTGGTCTCTTATTTAAAGACTTAGAAATGACAATAAATGTTAACACAAATTCCATTCTTCTTCAATAGGGGTCTTAAGCATATTGAATGCGTAAAGAAAGATAGTAATAATGGCCAAAGTCATGTTTGTTTTGTTCAGCTTCCTCGTATTATGCTGTTCTTCAATCAACACTTGGGCTTTCTCACCGTCTGGTTGGACCAGTGCCCATGCCACTTTTTATGGAGGTAGCGATGCCTCGGGCACAATGGGTAAGTGAAGTCATTATACTCTTTATTAATGTTATCTATCTATCTAAGTAGTTCTTTTTTTTGGTTTTCTATATATTTTAATTCTCTTGTTACGATCCTTGTTACATGGTACTCGCATGATTGAGCGTAGAATTAATAATGCACTGATTATGTTTTCAATAGGTCATGTCACTTATAAGTGTGTGTGAGTGCAGGAGGGGCTTGTGGGTACGGGAATCTGTATTCAGCGGGGTATGGAACTGATACAGCGGCATTAAGTACTGCGTTATTTAACGATGGAGCCTCATGTGGGGAATGCTACAAAATCATCTGCAATTATGAAGCAGACTCCAGATGGTGCTTGAAAGGAACATCTGTAACCATAACTGCCACAAATTTTTGCCCTCCCAATTTTGCTCTGCCCAACAACAATGGAGGGTGGTGCAACCCTCCTCTCAAACATTTCGACATGGCTCAACCCGCATGGGAAAAGATTGGTATCTATAGAGGAGGGGTCGTGCCCGTCTTGTTCCAAAGGTTTCAACTCAATTCAATATCTTTGTCTAATGGAACAAAACATAAATGCAGTTCCACAAGTGTTTTATAGTGTCATTAGAATTAAAATTTCGCATGGTAATCTAGTCTGGTCTATATATATGATTTTTTTTTTGTACTTATTCAATTTGAACTAATAATAAAGAATTGATCGAAATATAATGCATGAGATCTTAAAATTTAATCTCGATGTCATCATTATACAATTAAGAAAAAGTAAAAAATTTCTATTTTGATAAGAATCTTAGAATGTGAATTATAAAATGGACTCATAAAATGAAAATTATTTCATATTTATATATATAATTATATTTATCTATTGTTTATCTACATCGATATAATATATAAAATGTAGTATGACTTGAATTTTTCTCGATTTACTCCTTCACACTTAGTAGTTTTAAGTTTTGTACCCAATAATACTACTACCTTTAAAACTAGAATCCACATGAATATGAGGTGAGGATTTTTGGTCGGTGGCAAATTGATTAACGTTGTGTTGCTTGCAGGGTTCCATGCGTGAAGAAAGGAGGGGTTAGGTTCAGTGTGAATGGGAGAGACTACTTTGAGCTTGTATTGATCAGCAATGTGGGGGGGGCTGGATCTATCAAATCTGTGTCCATCAAAGGCTCAAAAACTGGATGGATGACTATGTCAAGAAACTGGGGATCTAATTGGCAATCCAATGCATATTTGAATGGTCAATCTTTGTCCTTTAGGGTCACAACCACCGATGGTGTAACTAAACTTTTTCTAGGTGTTGTTCCACCAAATTGGTCATTTGGTCAGACTTTCCCTACTAGTGTCCAGTTTTAAGGCTACAAGGATTATTAAGTTGTGGGTTTTGGACTTTCTCATGAACGTAAGAAACGGCAGAGGCATGCTTATTATTTTACTGGAGCAGCCCGCCTCACTCTTTTGTGCTTTTTGGACCCATAAACTTTATGGCCTAAATGAAGAAGCCCAAAGAGGCATTGCACTTGCGTGAATTATTATTAAGGAATTATGTTATATGTCAGCTTTAAGTCATGTAGAAATAAACATCTTCAGAGTTTGAATCATACTGTAAACTGCTATTATATGAACACTGTTGTTGTGTTTTTAGTACAGTTTTTTTTTTGGTTGAATATCTAATTGGGAATTGCAACTCGCTAATTCCCTGAAATTTTATGTATGCATGCGTTATTGCAAGTCTAGAAGCAATGAGCTATTTTTTTTTCTCGTATTGTTCGTCAGTTACTCTTGCATCACACTCTTTAGAAAGCAGAAAAATTTTCGAATTGAATTTTGTCTTGTACCACTGTATAAAAATACATCATATTTTAAGTGCATTCTAATTATATATCAAGAGTTTATAAAATCAGGAAAGATAAAACATTCTCCTTTTTTTTTTTAATATAATCATGTCATATTACTATTAAACATTCAAATCTAAAATTTCATAAGGGTAACAAAGTCCAAAAGTTGTTAAATGCATTGCATAAAGAGTCTTAAAACTTTTGTAACGGCAAGTAAAATTTGCAAAATAGATCCAACCCAATCTAACTTGCTTTTTGGGAGATTGAAAAGGGGGTAAGTTGAGTTTACCTATTTTGTCATCCCTGCTTGCCTTTTGGCAGGTTTAATTTGAACCAATGCCTGAAGACGATTTTAAGAAGAAACAAATGTAATATATTCCATACGCGTAGACTGAGGTATAGATCATTGTAAAACAACAAATAAAGTTATGAGGTAAAAAGGTCTTTGTGATAGTCCGAGTGCATAAGCATGAGAGAATGCAATACGTACAAATTCTTGGTTTCTAAACCTAGGTTTCATTTCAGACTCGGTTAATTGTAAAGGAGGGGAATATTGAGGTAAATCTTGAATACACAAGTCCTCTCAAAAAAGGAAAGCAATGGCGGGCCTGGAGCTGTGTTCATAAACTCCTAATATACACCTCCGCAATTAATGTAAATTATACTCGAGCAATAGAATTATCTGACATTGTCTCTGTCACCATAGTTTAGTTTACCATCATTAGAATTTAGAACACAATATTTGATTTATTTTAATTTTTTTTCCCATTAAAATTATACTGACAACACTAAAACTTTAAACTTCAAATCTTATATATACTATCACAACCTCACCATTGTTAGGTCAACCTTACAACACCATGGAATACAAAACATTGAAACATAAATTCACCTCTCTACGCCATGCCTGAATTCTGGTCTGGGTAAAGATTTAATATCCCCAATAACACCACCATACTAATTTGAGTTCATGACAAATAGTCACCTCAAAGATTTTATTAAAAACGCGACTGTTTTGAACTAGTTATGTATGGAAGCTAGTCCAATTTGCATGTTTCGTTCAACGCGAGGATCCATACTAAAGCTAGTGCTTTTATCAACCATGCATGTGAAAAAGGAATATAGACAAACGACCATACAAACAACCATTTGGTATACAAAACACATTCATTTACTAATTTATGCCATGAAAAAGCCTTTTTGCACTCATGTTTGAGGTGAAGCGGACAAGACAATAGATAAAATGTCGTGTTCCATGAACAATTCATCCGATCGGATCATCTGCAGTGACTTTACAACTGCATACAATCATGACCATTAGAAAATTTGTTTTATATGTAAAAAGCATAAATATTGTTCATTAAACATTAAGAACCGTGACATGTAAGCTGCAAGACGTGCAGTTATTTACTTCACATTCCAAAGGATCCATCCGCGACATCATCCACGATGGATAAACGCCACACTGTACGCTGGATCTTCACAGAATAATATGAATGGAAACAGAAAGTGTGCCTCTATAAACGTTCACAAATAAAACATGACTCAGCTAGTCAGCCCGAGAGACCTATAGCGACAGCTTAAGCTCAGCTCCATTGTAACACCCATAAGAAAAATAATTGGTTTTTTTCTTTTCAGATCCTAAAACATAATTCTCAAAACAAGGAAACAAACCATAACAGTCATCACGGTTGGAAACAAACAATAAATATTTCAATATGTTAAACTGACTTTCAGAGATCTTCCACATAGAAAATGAAAAATTGACCTTTAGAAAAGGAAATGATAATGGAAGTTTTTCAAAATGTAAACATTAGCAAAGGTTGGAAATGAAGATATCCTCATTGCAATTGGTAGGGTGAAAGAAGACAATTATCAGAAATCATCATCATCCTCCTCTGCAATATGCTTAGCCAGCTCCTGCTCTTGCTGTTGTCTCTCTCTTCTCTTTTCAGCACTTTCCTTCTCTTTGTGAGTGTTAGGTGGAAAACGGAGCGCTCGAACTGCCTCATTGTGCATGTTAAGACAGAAAGCAATCCGAGAATTAAAGGCTAACTGAGGCTCATTTGTGGAGTAAATATCTCCAGTTTCCTTAGACACCATCCACCCATTGGCATGATCCAATGTAGCATCAATTGCCCCATCACGAATAGCCTTTGCTACAATGCTCTCAGCATCAGCAACTGGATTTTCAGAGTTCAGCCTCAGTTTTTTAGCAACATCCGCTAGAGAGATGCGGGAATAGGAGATGCTGATATTGCGTAAACCAGTCCTGATGACATTATGCCTCAAACGAACAATCAAATTATGGGTTCTATCTGCGTTAAAGGTAGAGGCAAACTTGTCGGCAATATTCCTAAACAGTTCCAAGTCCCCAATCCGGACAGCCTGAAATTAAATTTCCACACTCCACAGCATAAGCTAACAATACGACAAAGTTCACAATATATAAACTGGCACAAGCACATATGGAGTTATTTATAGCTAAACGAAGAAAAGAAAGTTCACTTGTCATGATTAAGAGAGAGGGGGAAACTGAACTAATCATGATATCAGAACCTGCCTAGAATTTGGATCATAACGTGGACTTACATTTGTAAGCTCAAAGTAAGGCCTTAAAGCTTTCTCCATTCCCTTCTGCATAAAGACAGTCCGCTCTGGTATTTCTCCTAATAGTAAACGCACTATCACAGCCCACTTGTTACATTGAATACGAAAACCCCGTGCAGCAACGGGAGCTTTCCGGGCAGCCTGCAGGAGGGACTCTTTTGCATCGGTATATTCCAACTGAATTGTCCTAATTTTTCCAAGGTAGAAGAGATAACGACAAAACTGAAAGGGAAATACAACAAATGTAGACAGGTTGAGGAAAAATGAACCAAAAACTATAACTTTAACAGCAATAAATTAAACTAAGAAAACATCAATAAAACAATAACCCAATTGTTGATGACATTCAGCACAAGGGCTTTAACACAACATCTCTGAGCATTGGTATAAAAGGTAGAGATTATTTACAGAGAGTAAAACATAGGTGCTCAGGATAACAGAACTACCATACCTGCTGGTTAGAATGTGCTTCAAATCGAGGAGCCTTGGACCTCAACTTTTCAGCCTGATCATATAGGTTGTAGTGAAGGTAGTTACGAAGTAACAGATTAAGAAGTGTTTCCTGCATTGCATCAACAGTCATCATATAAATTAAAAATGGTAGAATTTGATTGAATTGTGAAACTAATTAGTCTATAGAGAGAGCATTTATTCTATGAATATGATTGAATACAATAGAAATTTTAATTATAAGTTAAATCAAATCTCTAATTACTTGCAACAAACTAGTCATGCAAATTAACTGAGAATCTAAAACAGTTATCACATATGTGCTTGGTTCTAACAACATGCTCAATTCTAACAAACGTCATAAGCCCTATTGCAAAAAAGCTCAAGTAAGTTGAAACAAACCTGGCCCAACTCATCATGACGCAGGGTAGCAATTCGGTGCAAAGCAAGGAGGTTGCTGAAACAAAAGTATAAATTTTAAAATAAGTTACTTAAATATAATTCAGTCTTGAACCTCCGTTTTCAACAATTACATAAATTAGCACCTAACTTACCCCCGAATTTCAGCAAGATCTCCTGTAAGCTCATAGCTATAGGAATAGTAAAAATACAGTCTGGATGCAATAACATCAACAGTTCTTCTGTTTGTGTTCTTCAGCCAAACAATGCTAGCTGAGGAACAAGCTTTGGCCTAAAAAGGAAAAAGAAGCATTAACAAACAATACGTTGTCACTTGTAAGTTCTCAAAGTCGAAAGAGGGGAACTGACCTCATTGTATTTTTTTTGATCAATCAGAAAAAGTAGCACAAGCAGGTAACAGTAGATTTCTAGCTCAGGCAACAAGTGTTTAACAGGGGTTTGAATAGCAGATGTTGCCGCGTCCACTTCCATCTCATGATCATCCTCCTACACAATCAGTGACAAAATTACGAATTGAAACACCATTGCCCCATAACATAAGACCATAGGAAGGAAACAGCCCAATCTTTCCAAAAGCCAGAGAGAGAGAACCAAAATAATCCGCTTACTGAACCTCATCCACTTCCCAGTATTAAAACTTTAAACATGAGTACAATTATGCGAAATTTCCACATGAGTAACTAAATCAACAGAAGCCTTTTTCAGAGAGATCACCAATTTACCCGCATTCATTCATCTATATCATAATTTAGATTCGAATTAAATGGACCATAAACGACTACATTCAAAATAGGATAACTAGAAAACACACTCACATATATATCCAAAACCTTTCCAAATTCCAACAAGAACAACCCGCGAATCTAAGATAGAAGTTTACCTTGGGAAGATACGCAGACAATTTGGCGTGAGCTTCAGAACCAGGAGTAAGAACATGATCAAGAAAAGACGAGATAACAGATGCTGTCAATTTCCGCCTCAACGCAATAGTAAGGCGAACAGCGCGAGCAATTCTACGAACTTCCTTCGAGTACGAACCGGTCTCGATAAGTGACCCTATCTCCTTCAAATCTGCGAGTCAAAATCCCAAAGTAGGAAATTAAAAAAGTTGGAACTAGTTTTATAGAATTGTGAAATCGGCACAGTGGAAGTGGTTAGAGAAAGAGGCTTACTCTGCAAAGTAGATGGAGCAGGTGCAGAAACGGAGTTGGAAGGCGTTGAGCGATCCTTCATCTCAAGATCTTGAGTCATGTTGAACAAAATCTAGTGAAAGCACAGAATGAAGCGAGAATTGTTGGAATCTGATGCAAACCCTAACACGGAGAACACAAGGGGTGAAGAAGACCAAAGAAGAAGCAATATGCACATGTCCTCTATAGTCACCTCGTTTCACCTCATACTCAAGCTCCTAATCATGAAATGGGCCTTGGGTCGATGGGCCGACTCAAGCTACAACCACGATTTGGATCCAATAAAAAGCAAGATACTAAACCCAGTGTATTCACTCATAACTCAAAAGGGTATTGCTATTTTAAAAAATGTTTAAATATATTTTTAGTTACGATAAGTTTATTTTTAGTTTTTCAGATTTAAAACCAATTTTATCTCCGTAAATTTGAAATTTTTATTTTATTTTTTATACTAAATTTTGTTAAAAAAATTTATTAATTATTTTGTATAAAATTTACTTATTAATGTCTCTATTAATAAAAATATTATATTAAATTATTAATTAATACTTTATAATCGTTTTAGATGTAAAGGGTTAAAAATAAGATTTTTAAAAATTATAAGATTAAAAATAATAATTTTAAATTTAAGAGATGAAAACAAATTTATCTTAAATTTGATAAATTAAAAACGTATTTAAATATTAAAATATTTCTAATAATTTAGATAAAAATATTTTCTTAATTGTTAATCATTATTATATTTTCAAAATTATAAAATAAATTATTACTGAAAAGTATTTAAAAATAAATAAAATAAAATAATATTATAATAATTAATAATTATCCTTAGTATAATTTTATATAGGTAGTTTGGTCTAAGTAATTTATATAGATAATACGCGTAAAAAAAATTACAAATATTTATGAATAATTTACTAAGACATTTTCTTGTGTGTAAAATAATATATATATTAAAATTTAATTTTTTAATTTATACAAGTTTTGTTGTAATTTTTAATTTTAAAAATATAAAATATGCTTGTGTGATTATTAACATTTGTCACTTTATTTTTTCATCTAAAAAATTTCCATTTTCTCTACTTTCGATTTTATAATTAGTTATATGATGATTTTTAAAGAAATAAAAAAATTAAAAATATAATATTTGACATGTTAAAATAATTTAAGTTATATTTCTTTTTTATTCATCAAAAATTGAAACTTAAAATTTTGTATATATTTCAACTTCATGTAGACTCTAGTTATTCAAATAATTTAAATTATATATTTATTTGATAAAACAGTTTTTATATCTAAATTTATAGAAGAAAAAAAATCATTGAGAATATTCAGTATATTTATTTATTCTAAATTTTAATTATTTGTTATATTTAATAAATAAATAAAAAGTCTTTCACAATATATATATAAAGGATGAGGAGCAATTGTTAGAACTTGGGAAACCCTAATTGTGCTACTTGAGAGAAAATGGCGGTACCCTTGATCTCGAAGAAGATCGTGAAGAAGCGCGTGAAGAAGTTCAAGCGCCCCCAGAGTGACCGCAAGATCTCCGTCAAGGTTAGTTAGTAGTAACTATCGGCATATCATGCCCTTTTCTAATCCGCATATGTCCCCTCTTTTTTGTTTTGGCTTTTGATTTTGAACTGCAGAGTGAAATTTTATGTAGTTTGATTTTTTTTTTTTTATTGTAATGATGATAGTTATTGTCGCCCCAGTCTTAATTTGCTCCACCAGGTGTAAGATGATGAATGACATTCTTATCTGATCCTCCTGTTTTTGATTTTTCTTATTGTGCGTAATTTAACTGTAGGTTTTTTTTACAAGTTTAGGTTCACTTTTTTGGATCCTGATTTTTTTTTCAAAGTTTGCGAATATTTTCGTCTTCATATGATGCTTGGTTGAGTCAGTGTGTTTTTACAACCTAGTTTTGCTTGTATAAAGTGTTGATTTTTATGTTTTAATCCGAACCATCGTGCCTTTGTCACTTTTTTTTTCCTTCAAAATGACTGCTAGTCTAATAATGTTCTGCAATCTGTGATGAACTTCCATTAATATTCTGATTAATCCGTGATTAGTATACTAATATCACCATCTTTCGGCTGAGATTGCAGAACGGTTTCTACTCTATGAATATATAACGCTGCTATCCCTTTATGTTTGTTTGTCCCTTTTGTTTTAATGAATCGATTTATGTTTGTATTTGTAGCTGGACATAGCTGGCTTTCTTTCAATTTGAGCCTTCACTTGCTATTTTCATGTAAATTTTTAATTGATGCATACCAAGTTAGATTTTTTTTTCTTCAAAAAATAATTCACTCATACGTTGGAGGTGCCTTTTCTGTCGTGATAAAGTAATGTAGACATTCAATTTTGCCTGGTTTTCTTTCATTTTGCTAAAGTTACTTAATGAGTTAATGTGGAGTTGTAGCCTATTCCTCTGATTTTCTGAATAGGGTTACTTATTCTTGTTGAATACATGTGTTAAATTATTTGAAATTGGTTGTTTCTGTTCTAAAGTAATTATGTTTTGGATTTTGTTTTGGTAACAGCCAAGCTGGCGCAGACCAAAGGGTATTGACTCCCGTGTCAGGAGAAAGTTTAAAGGATGCACTTTGATGCCCAACATTGGTTATGGTTCAGACAAGAAAACTCGCCATTATCTGCCAAATGGTTTCAAGAAATTTGTTGTGCACAATGTGAAAGACTTGGAACTTCTCATGATGCATAACAGGTGAATATTTGAAATAATTCATTTTTACCTGTGGGATATAATTTACTGCTAATGAATGCCTCTCTTAAAATACAATGTAGACATTGGCTGAGTAATTTTTTCATGTTTAATTCAGGACGTACTGTGCTGAGATTGCTCACAATGTGTCCACAAGGAAGAGGAAGGACATAGTTGAGAGAGCTGCCCAGCTTGATGTCGTTGTTACAAACAAAACAGCCAGGCTGCGCAGCCAGGAAGATGAATAGATCCGGATGTCTGGGAGTCATATTTATGTTTTGTAGTGAGCTATGGTTGATACGCTAGATGGTAGATTTTGATTGCTTTTGTTATTTTCTTGACCAGAACCTTGTTGCATGTGATACATTTTTTTATGTTGCTTATTGTCTTGCCGATGCAAAATTTTCAACCCAATCTTGAGTTTATCTTTGGTTCTGTTCTAGTTAAAGGTAATTGTTTTTCAGGGTTTAATGCTTTGCTCCACCTCATTAACAATGTGGTGATTGCTTCATCTCTCTCTCATCCTTGTAGAGCTTTTCTAGTGTCTACACTCTACCTCCTCTAATCTTACTTTTTATGTATGAGATTTTTATGAAGCTTCTACTTGTAGCAGCAAGATCGTGTACCCATAGGCACTACACGGTGGTTTGAAATGTTTCCGCACTCTTGTTGTAGGTCGACAACCTTGACCTGCTTTGATTATTTCTCTGGCTCACCAAAAAAAAATAACAGAACGGCGTAATTTTTATGCTGCATTTGAGTGACCCTGTTTGAACTGGTTATCGACCAATTTTACCAGTTTTTAACTGATGCATCAATTTTCTTTTACAGTTTGATTTTTTGGTTTGATTGGACTAGACAGGACTGGTTAGCTGGTTATAAGGATGAACCGATGGCTCTGGTATAGTATCTTCAACTCAATTTCATCTAGCATCGCCTCGTCCAACATTTTTGGCTCAGTCTTGACTAATAACTTATTTTTTGTTTTTTATCCAATGAATTTTTTTATTTATTTAATTCAATCCAGAAGATTTGAAAAAGTTGATGAAACACTAAATATCTACAAAATAAATTAGATGAATTAGATCCTTTTTTTTTTTTAATGAAATGGATTGAATCGACCAATTTGTCATAACGATTGAATGCTTAACAAATACATTTTTAAACGAGCAGCAGACCTATAAAACATTGCGAAGGTGGTCTCTAATTAAAAGACCTGTATGCTACAACTTCCTACATTACCATGTTGATAGCTTTGAATATATTGGGAACTACGGTGTCATTGATGAACCAGTTTGTTTCGATCAGATTCAAAAGCAGCTGCAAGTAGGCACAATTCTTCAACAACCCGCAATTCCCACGGCCACTGGAGACCCAGAGATTTTAGTATTATTGTCTCAAATCGTTCTGGTATGTCATGTTTGCGGAAAGTAGTACGCCACTTTTGTGATTTCTTGCGATAATACCCAACCTGGGAGCCTATTTGCAGACATAATCATCAAAATTTACCTTCACAAATATACACTGTGTACCGGAGAGACCGTATCGGTCACGTGGGCCAACACGTGCCATTTCGTCAGAACAGTTCCCAAATAAGTCAGTTGGGTATCAAGGGTTCCAACTTGGAGTGGTTGCCTCTCTTCAATAGGCTCGACCCTTTCGTCGTGCCCGATTCGGGGGTCGAGGTCTATGGAGGACTGTTGGGTTACCGAGTGGACTTTCTGTGGCTCTTTGATCGTTTCGTCTCGCACTTTCGGTAGCCGCAAGCTGGCAAAGTAGCATTCGCGGGCAGTTTTTTGATCGGCGTGCACCGCGATAACCCGTCCTGACTGTGCCGGAACCTTCATAGCTAAATGAGGAGTAGACCCGATTGCTCCGAGCCGATTCAAGGATGGCCGACCGAGCAGAATGTTATAGGAGGTGCTCGCATGAACAACCATGTATTTAACCGAGATGTCTCGGTATTCCGCCCCTTCGTCTCCGGATACAAGAAGAATCATGGTTCGATACCTCCTCGTGGAGGCCAACACCTCCTATAACATCATTATCGGGAGGCCAACCTTGAATCAGCTCGGAGCGGTGATATCTACTCCGCACCTCACCATGAAGTTCCCAGGGAATGACGGTAAGATCATCTCCGTCAGAGCAAATCAGAAGACAGCTCGGCAGTGTTACGCTGAGAGTCTGAAGATCTCCTCGTCCGGAAAGCAAAGCAAGGGGGGTCCCCCCACCGTAGCTCCTTAAGTTCCATTTCTCTTTTCTGTATGAACGAAGTTGTGCACTCTTTTCCCGCCTCAGTCCTTCACTGAGAGGGTTTTTAACGAGGCACACAAAAATGATCAATAAAATCACTCATTTTGC